GCTACTCACTTTTATAAAACCTCTGATCGAACAGTTTCAGTACAATAACGGCGTATGACAATGTGCCTATCGCCGTTCTAAATGCCGCACCGTCAAACGTCCTCTGGCGTGCTCTGATCTCTGTCAATTCGGCGATGTCGTCGACACAGAATGACTGAGCTCGATGTCCATGGTATACATGACCCGTTGGGCATGCCGATGTGCCCAACATCGATGGGGTATGTGATTGTGCAAAAAAAGGGACTTTGAGAGAAGGTTAAGCCTTCGAGCAGTCTTCAGGACTCAGAAGATGACACGAGAAGAGCAGTCGGGATACTAACAGTGCGATAAGATGATCGGGGAGTCCTCGGCATTACGTCAGGATCTGGTAAAATAAGTGGAAGTCGGAGTATGAAGGGCCAGCCGTACAGTCTTGGCGACGAAGCATGAATGAAGGACGGGCCTTTCTCAAAAATTAGGTGAGAGATTAGCAATGTCAGGAAGACTGGACTGTGAACTGGGGAGAGATCAGGGCAAATTTATGTAAAAGCTATCGAGCATCGCAGGATACTTGATAGTTTGCATATAAGTCTGATCTCAAATCACTGGTTCTAGGCGGTTTGGGTCAGACAGAAATGGTGCAAGTCAGTAATGTGGCCTTTTTTCCGGAATTAGACACAGCGCTGGGCTCAAATTCTCAGTCTGTGGTTCTCCGAGCTTTTCTCAACTGAACCATATATGTATATATACTCCAATTGCAAATTAGAACCTACCAATGAAGTTGCCTTCCGATATTTCTCCCTGCTAAAATGAATTGTAGTTAGAGCTGGAGCTTTGTAGCGAAGGTGCAGGATTATCATCGACGCCTCGACTACCACCGTTATTAAGGAAGAATGCGGTGACCCTGCTGTTTGTTCATCCTCGATTTATTGGAGAAATCAGTCATTAACGGATGGTGAATGGTTGTGCTGAGCGAAGGCGCTGTATTCTTCGTGTTGTGAAACATGGCAGGAACGAATATAAAGGTAGTGTGGTCCGACTCACCTAAATGTCTAAGACTTGTCTCGCTGGAATCCTTCACAGCTACAGAGGTCAAATGGGAAGTCGACGATTCAACCGAGCCGGAATTCATCCGGGAAGTGTCAGTTGAGCGTCGGAAACTTGTGGTGGGTATTGATGTCTTCAGGACCAATGTGATTTCCGTTCTGTCCAATGGCATGTCCTCGAGGGTTCTCTCGTAGACCTTGAATGATCTATCGCCATCCTATAATGTAGAAGGAAATACAATTGTTGGTTAAAGTACTCGTCCATCATGAGAACGGCAAGAACAGGAACGAACTAAAGGCGATAATAGAAGGAAACATTTTCGAATGACATATATATTGGTGATCATGTTAGTAGCCTACACAAATTTACATGAAGGCTACATTGAAATTTAGACAAAAATCTACTTCTAACCAGCACATGCCCATACTCTAGTAGCAATATATTAGATTAACCAAATTCCATCCCAAATTTTCGCAAGAGGAAAAAGAAAACAGGTGTTACACTTTATTTTTCATTTCTCAGCCGACCATACCTTCTTTCCAGCAACCCAAGTGGCCTTCACGTTCCCAGCAGGATCTAAGACCACGAGATCGGCATCTGCACCCGCCCGGAGAGTACCTTTTCGATTCGCGATATTGAGACATCTATTTATTCAAATCAAATTTGGACAAGGAGTCAATGTATTCAAAATAAATCGACATACACAGCAGGGTTGTACGTCGCACATTTGATCGCCTCCCCGAGCGTGCATCCCGTGAATTCGACAAAGTTGCGTACGCAGGTGTCCAATGTTACCACACTGTTTTGGGACTACCGTAAGACCGCCGTATTGAATTCCAATGTGGACATGTGGTTACCTTCCCGCCAGAATGTCTGTGCCCTCTATGTAAAGCTTGACGCCTTCCTTAACGAGCCGGCGATTGTCACGCCAATCATGTAATCCGTCGCAAAGATGGGGGTCAAGCATTGGCATGGCTAAAGGTGAGAAGGGTATCAGGTTCGTGAAGATGATATCATTTCAAACGACTACTACCGTCTGTAACCAGGATGCATCCTTCCTTATGGGCCGTATACGCCAGCTAAAAGGCATAATTAGAGAATTATCGGAAGAACTACTAGGTATCACGGTTTACCCTGACGGAATGAGGGTGTGAATGACACCCATCGACAATAATCCCATAATACGGTTTATGGAATGCAGATACTTTGACTTTTTGTAGTGCCAGTCCCTCTATATTTTTCTTCTGCGAGTTGACTGGGTACAAAGGAGGAGTCGGGGGAGTCGAAACGTCAGAGAAGGCCTCTGAGACGGGATTAGAGGCAGCCACAACCGTAGAATCTACCCCCGAACAAATTATCAGAAAAAAAGGGGGAGAGGGTACGATATAAGTTAAATTTTGAGACCTTGACTTGCAAACGAGGCGGCAAGCGTAGGAGAAGCACCGAGCAGACCAATGATAGACGGGTCACGATGGTGAAGCTGCGGCATGGCATTGAAAAGATGGGTAATGAGACGTGCACCCTTTGTGGCTGCCTCGCGAGCCTTGTTTGATGAGGCAGTACTAGGGAAAGGATGGATGCCGAGCTCTTTAGCAATAAATTGAAATACGTACCTGTGTCCAATGGCACAAATTACCCCACGCCGAGAGAGTTCCTCGATAGCAGGAATGACTCCCTCAATCTCCGGCGCTGCCGTAATAACACGTACGCCAGGGAATGTAGTGTTACCACGTTTCCCGACGAATTGATCGGCTTGGCATAGCGCTTCTTCACCGTAGACTTCACTAAAGGTTTTAATGCCTGATTAAAGGTAAGAATGACATCGAGTGAGGAATGGGTGCTATTGAAACCTTCTGGGGCTGTGAGAAGGAATCCTTGCATGTGTGCACCACGTTTTTCTGGCTGGAGAAATGGTCCTTCTGCGTGCCAGCCAAGAAGGGTGGCGCTATCAGGGTGAGAAACTGCTGATAGGCGGGGGGAGGAGCTGAAATCACCGTAATTTAAGGGTGAGGATGAAAAATTGGAATCACGGAAACAAGGATTCAGCGTACTTTAGTGTAAAGATCTCGTTTTTGAGTCTGAAGAGGCATATATTAGGAGGTCCTAGCTATACCTGGGAGAGCCTTACGATGATTGTAGGAAGGAGCCTAATGAATGAGTTCTAAGGTTAATAAAATCCTAGTGGGGGAACAGAAAAGTACCAGTAAAAACAGGAGCAGCGTTATAACGCCGAAGGAATTATTATAAAGTAGGAAGCAGGAAACTCACGACGTTACACCTGTTTCCACGATCCTCTTGGCAATCATACGTAGCCCCTCATCATACGCCTTTTCGTCCCCATCGCTGAAGATAGAGAAATCGAATCCGTAGGCACCGTTGATCTGAGCGTCGATGAAACCGGGGCTACATCAATGCATTAATAGATTAATAGAGAGCAGCCTAACCAGCTTAAAACAGTCACCTTATAATATTTCCTTTCAAATCGATTGTGGTATCTGGACGACGGCGTTCAGCAAAAAAGGTTTTCTGTTAAGAAATTTTTTTCAGTATCTATGAGAAATTCCGTGTCAAAGCTCGGCAAGAGCGGCAAGGACACCCCCGACGGTTCTTCTCTCCCCAACGTGATAGACTGGCTACTCAACGAGCAGCTTACCTGTGCATCCAAAATGACACCCCTTGCCTCGTCAATCCAGAGATCCCTGTCTACTAAACTTCCATCCTCAAGGACCAGACGGCAGTTCGTAAAGCACACAAGCGCATTGCTTGACATTATGGTGCAGAGAGATGGGAGTTCAGTCGATGAAAATCCGACACGCGTAGACAGCTATAGACAGCAGACTCAGGTCGATCGAGTACCACATGATTTTGTTTAACATGGGTCAGCGGGCCGCCGTGGGCGCGTGCGGACGCGTTCTCGTTAAGGTAATCACCTGCCATGTATAGGAACGTATGCCAAATTTTTGAGGCATTCTTTTACGGAATGTGGTGTTGGTTGGCAGAACACGTTCGCTCTTAAACATGCCTCTCAGATCAGAACTTGTGGGCACATTTATTTAAGACGACATGGTCAAAGGAGAAGAACTCACAGAAGATCATGGTTGATGAACGGAATGAGGTAAAGCAGCCTAGGTACATATCGCCACGCTGGTACCTGTATCGGGCAGCGCCTCACAATAAATACTCAGAAAGTTATTGGAGACCACATGGGCTGACTATTTTGGCCGGCATTGGCCGCAATTCTCACGAACTTGAAGCTCGGGCTGTTTCCATAAAGATCCGAAGCCTCATTCGTCCGCTGAGGGTTGCTTGAATTGAGCTGCAGTGTTATAGCAGCATAACACCATGGACTATAAGGGTAATGATATCCCTGTTTCTTGGCGTTGAACCCCGTTAGCGGCGGCGCCATGCAATCTTGGTGAGATCTAGATCTATCCCTTCCGGGATAACGTAAACACGAATTTTGTCGCAATCCAACGACAGCTGCAACCGAGATCATACCATTCTACAATGTGACCAGCTTCCCTATTAACAACTACGGTTACCCGCCCTTTTCAGAAGGTTTCACTTTAGTTCCGAGTTCTACGATGGGTATGAAACTCTGAAATTGGCTGGATTCACGCCACAACAGGAACACACTGCTACTTGGCCTGCATGACCTTAGGCCCTTCCGCAAAGACTCAACTCAGTGTGTGTGTATGTTGCTGTATCTGTGAAGGGGGTCGGGATGATACCTTGAATACATATTTTACCTCAGTGGCATAAGCGACCGACTTTTTCTCCGTGCATTTCTTTACATGACTTCATCTTGACAATTTTGTGAGCCTGAACACTTATGTTCTGCCCAAGGAGGACATGCGACGTTTTTGTTACTTCTCGATGACCCAATTTGGAGAGGTCCATTTAAGATTTAATGATCACAGGTTACGGTATCTTTTCATGTCTCCTTATGACTCCGCGGTCGCCCTTATAGTAAGTCCATGGTGGTGTAGTGGTTAACATCGCTGTCTTTCATTAGTGATTACACAGCAGCCCGGGGTTCGATTCCCCGTCGTGGAATTTAGTTTTGTCTTTTTTTTTTACCTAAACAACTTTATAATTGCACTACTTTACCAGGACCCAGTCCAATATCACATTATTTTGCTTCAATTTGCTCATCACTGAAGTGTAAGTCATATTAATTTACTTCATCTTAGATATTTTATTTATGTAGATGGCAAGATAATGTGCTGTCACACGCAGATTCGGGTCGGAAGATCCAGCAGAGTAATCGCCATTACATGCTCGACGGTGGAGGAAAGATATCCTTCATTGATGACGAGCAGTAAAGCGGATTACTCGCAAGGAGATATTCACCTCAAGATTATCCAATGTATCATATCAATATCAATACTATAATCGTAGCCCAGTGTTTAGGGTATATATCTAAACCCCAACGCCAAATCGTGGCTTTTAAATCTACACGACAGACCAATCCCCAGCACCACCCCCTCTCGCTTTCACCCCCACCTTCCCATCTACCCCCACCTCGACTACTATCTCTACACTCTTCTCTGGCTTACCCTTCTTGCCTTTAACGACAACACCCGCTCCCAATGCCACATCCAACCCGCCCAGATATGTCTCTTTCTTTACGCCCCTCGCCTTCTCCTCAGTCGGCTCTGCGGGCTCCTCGTCTTCCTCGGCGTCGCTGTATACCTCGGCAGGAATAATCTTCGTCTGCACTACGTTGCTGGCTTCCCAAAACTCGAGGGGAAGAGTAAGGGTGCCAGCATCAGCAGTAACGGGAATCTTCACGGCCCGTTTCGCGGGGAGCGGTGTAGCCGTCGGGATGATCGGGATCCATGTCCCACCCTCCCCGTCCCCGTCCTCGCCCCCGTCAGCAGCAGGGACTAAAACGCCCACCGTCTTCGCCGTAACGCCCACATCGACCGCATCGACCTTCATCTCCTCAGCAAGATCAATAATCCCCCGCGCGTGCAACGCACACCCCTTCGCCAGCACCTCTTCGGCCTGTCCGATCTCCTCCTCCTTAGTGTGCTCCCCAAGCACGCCCGTAGAAACCAGCACCTGGCTCGCCGTCGACCCCGCACCGCCGCCGCCGCCGACCCACGCGACGCTATCCACCCACACACCCTCGTTACCGATCAGGTCCTTGACCGCAGCAGCGAGCCGCTCGAATACGGGGGTGAACAGCCCAAAGGCGCGTGTGCGGTTCACGGGCGCGCTGAAGTCGAGTCCTGCGTGCAGCGATTCGATGCTGATTTGGGTGCTGGTGGGTTTACCGCTGGAGCTGGGCGATGAGGAGGCGGTGAGAGAGCGCTTGATGTGTGGGAGAGAGAGGAAGAGTTTGATTTGTGCGCGGGTGGTGGACGGTGTCGGGGGGCAGACCTGTGTGTGGAGGGAGACAAGGAGATGAGAATGAGATGTCTCTGGTAGAAAAGAAGTAATGGAATGTTACGTACTTGAAGTGCTTCCCCTGTTTTCTTTGCGAACTCCTTTGCAAAGTATTTAACCAAAGTCTCGTCTATACTTCCCGGCTGTGCCGTCCCAAGCTCGGCAACCCGTTTGGAGCCCAAGGAGTGCACGAGGCCGGCACGGATACTAAGCAAGTTAATATTGACGTCCGTCGCGCCCCAATCGACGAGTAGCGTCGTGCGATCAGCCTGCTCCACGGGCGCATCAACAAGCACCGCGGCAGCCGCCGTATCCTCTTCCAAAAGCTGCAAAATGTTGATACCGGCTTCCTTGGCGGCCTCCTTCACAGCCTCCCTTTGTATGTCTGCAAACCATGCTGGAACGGTGATCACCACGCCCCTAGGCTTCACACCTAAAAAGTCCATGACTGATTGGTGTAGAGACTTGAAGAAGAGGACGGCTGCGTCGTGGGGAGTGAGATGCCTGGTCTGGGGCATAGGCTCGGAGCGAGGGGTTGCAAGGGGGGTAGGATGCTGGGTAGAGGGGCGGGAAGAAAGAGATGCGGGTGTAGTTAGTGGGGTGGGTGAGGGAATTAAGACCTGCACGGCATAGCAAGGTGTGTCTGGAAGACTTGGGTGTTGGATGAGGGGCGCAGATGGTGCAAGGCTCGCAAGTTCTGAAGAGGAAATCTCAGAAAATCTGTAGATTCGGATGAGAAATAGTAAGGCCAAGCATTGAAGATGGCTTACTTCTTGCCGAGGAAGTTTCTAAAATTGGTAATGGTATTCTGCGCATTTTTGACGAGCTGGGGGAGCGCTTGGTTACCTACATACTATCGTATCATCAGTCTCTTGGGCTTGTGCTCATCTATGCGTAAAGCTAGCTCACCATCTCCTCTCCATTAAAGGATATCGCAGCAGCTATCTGCCTCTCTCCATCTTCATTCGCGATACATTCCGCCTTGCCCTCCTACAAAATCTCAAATCGAGAAGGGAACCCAAGTGATACGAGACTCACTTTAGTGATAACGGCAATCGAAGCATACGCACTGCCAAAGTTGATCCCCACCACAGTCTCTCGCTCATCCACCACGGCCACTGCTGGCTTTCCATTGGGTAGACTCATGGTGGTTGAAAACAAATTTGAATAAGCGCTCACGCGTTGCGGAGCCTGAAACAAAAAAAAATCTATGGAGGGCCATCAGGACTCGACTTGGACGAGATATCTGCACAAATTTAAACAGCAGCCTCTGATCCCAATTGGTTTGTGTTTTAAAAGCTATAGAAATAGTAAGGAAGTGAGCATTAGGACATAGGCGTCGCTGCTACATGTGTTGCTTTTGTTGGTGCGACGAGGCGATTACGTTCTGGGGATCGCGCGTCATTTAATAGGCAGGCATTTTGTCTGATGCTCATATTGCATCGTGTCGCTTATAATGCCTCTAGATGGCTCCGTTTTCGTGTCATAGCCCAAGGCTTCACAGTCGCTGCTGCTGTCATTGGCGGGTGGCAAATTGCGCAGGACCGGAAAGCTGCGAGGCAGCAGGGGCTTACACCGACAACAGAAGAGGAACAGAAGATGGAGAAGGAGGCGGCAGAGAGAAGGCGGTTTGAGGCGAGGATGAAGGAGGCTGAGGAGGCGCATAGACTGGAGACTGGAGGCAAGGCTGTTTGAATCGTGTGCGTGCGCCATTGTGACTATGAAATTATCTCGACCAACTGACGATTATCGATCGATCAAGTTTCAATGTATTATTAGACAATCGAAATATGTGTTATTCTGACTTACTCCGCACCAAGTTATGCACCGAATCTGGGCAACACACCACACGTGAACCATTTTGGCAACAAGGGCTTCCACTAATGAATACGTTTTATAAGCACAAATACAATAGTCTATACAATCTATATAAGATAGTGACACCCTCAAATGTCCGTTGCCTCTAACAAAGGCCCCACCTTTTAGATTCCCGTTGCGGTGCAGTGTTTTCCTCCTGCGCCCGTATTACCTTTATGAAGACACTTTCTAAACTAATCCGTTCCACCGTATACTCAGGAAAGTCGTCTTGCCTGCTCAAAATGTCGAACAACTCTGCTAGAGATAGATTCGTGTCACCGGTGTCAGTCATGATTACCGGGGCATCGGCTTCTTTAGCGGAATCGGTCCGGATAGGGACTTCAAAACGCGTCGCCACGTCATTTGCCATACGGGACCCTGGTATACGAGAAATGAGCTGTTGCGCCTTCACCATCTCCTCGCGCGTACGTGCAGGGAAATGTACTTCATAGAGAGCGTATCGTGCTGCAAGTGCGTCCGGACTTCCGATTGCTGGATACAAAATAAATAATTTAAAAATAATTTCCTAGGACTATGCCGCAATTTCTTACCGAGCATCCGACCTGCCAGTATTCCCACCTTGTTGGCAAGCGCCGACGCTTCTTCCATTGAATCTATAAAGAAGAGGCAAGCGATATTCAGGAAACCCGGCAAGTCGCAAAGGAATGCGTGCTACTGACGTGTAGTAATCACCACCGCTTTGCCGATAGCCATGCGACGGAAAGTAGCCCACATGCTTCTCTTCGTCGCAGCATCTATACCCGTTGAATATTCGTCGATAAGGATAACCGTCGGATTCCCTGTGGTTTGGAACAGGACCATTAGAGCGAACTTATGATGTAGGCTGAGTAGTTACCCATTAATGCTATCGCAAATGATAATTTCCGTTGATTACCTCCCGATAATGTAACGGCCAGTCGATCCGCATACTGGCTCAGTGTCGTAGCTTGTAAGAGGGATTCCACGTTTTGATCCAACTCTGCACCACGTTCAAGTCCCTTAAGTAACCCATAAATTACAAGATGTTGCCGAACGGTGAGTTGAGGGTCGATTGCTGTGAACTGCGGGCAAACGCCTAAAGAGAGTCTTGCTGTGTTGGGGTGCTCGATAATTGACGTGCCATTGATGTGAACGTCCCCAGAATCTGGGTAAAGATCACCCCGTATGATGTTGAAAATGGAAGTTTTGCCTATCATTGGTGTCTATGAGAGCCCAGGAATCAGAGGCGCAATTACAACTCACCAGCACCGTTAGGACCCAACAGAGCGAACACAGTATCCTGTGATACTCCAAAGCTAACGTTATCCACAGCTTTTGAATGCGACCGGTTGAAGGTCTTCGAAACGTGCAATACACGAAGCAAATCCGTAACGGACGTCTCAACAGCCCCTGTCTCGCCAGAAACATCTTTATCCTGTGCGTTATCCGATGTCGGCCGCACATCACGAGTTGGTGGCCGAGTGAGTTGGAGCCGGCGGGGGAGGACAGATCCAGAGTCGACGTAGACCAGTACGGCGAAAAAGAGGAGACATTCTATAATGAGGTAGGCAATTGGACCGCCGAATTTCTTGATGCTCCCTAGACTGGAAGTGGAAAATTCCCCATCCTCGCAAAGAAGGGAGAATAGGTTTACGGATACGAGGGAAGCGCGCAGCTAAATTGTTGTCCGAATTAACAAATTGTGTTAAGAAAAAGCGAAGCAAGACTGACCACACTGGCTACTGGGGATGCCAAGGAAACCGTGAAATCTGCGGGATGTGTGAGTTGGGAAGAAGATTGGGATGGGGAGATACCATAGGCCACTC